AATAGGCCCAATAACGGAATATGGACCCGGTTCAAGCCCTATAATTGAATTATTATTAGGCCTAGGAGGCCCATTATCTGAATATTTAGGCCCAATATCCGAATATATGAATTTAAATATAGGCCCAATAAACACCATGTGAAGCTGGAAGTTGCATTTAATAGATAAAAAATTATCACTAATTTCACCAAAAAAAAAAAAAAAAAAAAAATGGAAAAAATACTATTAGAAACATGAAATTGCAAATAAGTTTGAAATCCCTGACAGGGATTGACAAATGTCTATTTTTACTAATTTCATTAAATACAGAAATTAATCTCAAGCACTAAAAATCAATTAACAACCAAATGGAATGCAAAAATGAACTTGTGTACTATAAAATTGAGATCCAGCAACTAAAACTGGATGAATCAGAATACTCTCAACCCTTTTTCCCAAGTCCCGGAAACCCGATTTCAGTTTTAATATATATATATTTTTTAAAAGAATTACAAAATTTAGCGGACTCCAGTAATAAATGATTTTGGGGAAAATGTATTACATCTAGAGTATCAGGCCACTAAATAAAACAAACCTCTGTATCCTTTCAAGTATGCTAAAACTCCAACTGCACAACTGGTTTTAAACCTTTTCGTCAGGCTCGGAAGAATCTCCATCATGCTTTTGCTGAGTGCTTTTGGGAATTGAATGGCTGCGTCTTTCTTTACCCCCGGGTTTCGACGAAGCATTGCCATACCACATCATTCCAATAACAGCAATTATCATTCCAATAACTACTTGTATATTAAGACCTTCTTTCCCGAAGAATAAGAATCCTAGGATCAAGACAAGGATTGTTTTCATGTGACCAAGTACTTGAAAAGAGACGGCGGTGAATCTGCCTATGCAGATGAACTGGCTGAGGTTTGTTCCTATTGCAATAGTACATGAGAGGACCAAGAACACCTGCAGAATCAACGGTAAATAAATAATATAAAAAAATGTACTGATCAGAAATGGCCCACTGTACAACAATTATCCAGTGATATTTAATCCAAAAACCACTGGATAACATATAAATGGAAGTATCGAACACTAATACTCAAGGTAGGACAAGTTGGGAAATATGTTAACAAATAAATGGAAGTATTGGTTTTCACAGTGCATCATGCTCCGGCGATGATAAATGCTAATTACGAGTACACGCTAGGATCAGAGATTTGGAGTGTGATTACAGAAAATACATAAAAATAATGTGACAATGTACTAACCGCAGATGGTAAACTGAAGTTATAGGCATCGATTCTTTTGTTGGTCAACCAATAATCCAGAAAGGGGCCTAACAGCAACAGTGATGCAGCTTGAGCTGGTGCAGTGTGCCCCAGTAGATTGAAAGAACTCAGCGAGTATTTTCTCTGAAGGAAAGAAACATACTGCAAAAACATATCCAAAATTATTCTATATCGCCCTCTTTTTTTTGGTCCCTATATAATGACATATTATACAAGCTAAGCATTTGTAATTTCTTGTAATTCTCCTAGAAAACTTACATATTGTTGCATAGCTGTACTCCAGACTGCTATGAATGCAGCAACGAACCCTTTACTATTAACACTCACATCAGTAACCGTGCAGACAGCAACACCAAGTAGAACAATTAGAATACTAAGCTTTGTGTCTCTTGAATATCTGATCTTGTCAAACACTACTTCCAACAAGCAGGATACTGGTATCATACTCAGCTTTGCGATCTGATAAAATAAAGGGACATAAGATCATGTGTATTGATCAATTTGAAATAAGAAAGCTCATATTCTTAAGGTCTCCTTTTCGTTTTTTTCTTTTTCTTTTTCAGGATGGAAGAATGATAAAAAAAAATTACCTGGTAGAATCCCACCGAATTCCACATTAAACTGACATTCATCCCAACAATAGAAAAATTTGCAAACAAAACAAATCTCAGAAGCTCTTGAAAAGGTAGATGAGAAGTTTGGATGTAACCCAGCCACCTAAGAACAACCGTCATCAAGGTGGTCGTGGCAAAATGCAAACCCGTTAACGTTGTAGCTGCACGAGTTGAAATGAAAATTAAAGTTAGAAACTCATGTTACAAGGAAAATGTCAGAACTGAAATATAGAAAAGAGAAACTCTACAACATGAGGTCCACCATAAATAAACATATAAGAAGATCATCACTGTTTCCATTTGAGTTTCTCTTGGATAATTTGCTGAATGTCAAAAAATAACATGAGCTGCATAGGTTATAGCCATAAAAATGCTAAAACCTCATGTTACACGGAAAATTACAAAACTGAAATATGGAAAAGAAGAACACTACACCATGAGGTCATCAATAACAACCAGATAAGGAGATCATCGCTGTTTTCATTTGAGTTTCTCCTCGATTATTTTTGCTGAACGAAATTAACATCAGCTGCTAAAAGTATTAATTACATTACTTTTAGTTTCAATAGATTTCACAACATGTTTCCAAGAAAACAAGCATGTAATATGTCTCTGTATCAGTAGCAGCATTGGTGGCAAGTGTAAACAAGAGCACGAGCAACACATATAACTTCTAAGTTAAGTTTGTTTTAACTCATAGTTACTCAAAACATCTGCTTCTCTATACCAAACACAAATAATGCTCTGTAGGCTTTCATCTTACATCCAAACTCATAATCTACCAAAAAAAATCTATATGTGACTTCCTACTAGCAAGGGTATTCTCTTGAGAATTTTTAGCCCCATAAATTGATTCTAAGTTCGGATCATAGCAGACCAGGCAATCAGATTAAAAGATCCAATAGACCAGGCATCTTAATACCATGGTTTTCAGGTTTTTATGCAAGTATAAATTCTAGTTTTATTGAACGAACTGTTTCGAACTTCCTCACAATGTGTTTGGAATCTTTATTCCTTCCATTTGAGGAAGGAATGATTTCAAATGACTCTCTAGTGGAATATTTTCCAAATTCACCACAATGAATAAAGATAGTTGCTCAATACGACCTCAAGGATTTGAAATCTATAATAACATGAACAGACATGCTCAATTTCTTCGAAATCCTTAACTAGAAACCCATATTTCATGCACAATCTAAAACAAGAAACCCCTGCAACTGGGAAAGTAGGAGAAATTTATCATTTCTTTAGTATTCTGTGGAATATTCTTTCTGTTCATACCCAAAGTCTTTACTGAGACATACATATAATCATAATTGCAGTAACAAAATACTTGTAGTATGCAAATTATAAACCACACGAAGTACTTGTTCAACGTTAACCATTAACAGTTAATTCTGCTTAGATTGCTAGAAAGAACTTACCAAAGCTGAAGCCATAAGTAGCCATTAATGCTTTATTGACAATGATAATCCCAACTGAAGTGACTACATTGAACATCCATGCTGCTGCATCTACTGATGCCTTTTTATCAGCTTTGCTTCCTGGAGCCATTTTGCCCTTCTCTTATCCTATATAACTGCCCAATGGGTGATAACTGTTACCCAGCTAGGACATAAACCCGAGAACAACTCGGAGCATTCAATTCAAGATATTCAATCTTAAGCTTCCTCCACAACTGCACTTGAATACGCCTGAATCAAAAAGAATGACCCGATGTAGCAAAATTCTTCACGTACTCTATAACAAAAGAATAATGCAAAAGTTAGCTTAGAAATTGAGTTAGATTAGGATCTTTCTGCTACAAGAAAACAGCTATATATCTTATCTTGCTGAAACAGGAAAGTACGTAACATTTAATAAGTGAGCGTCACTCGGTCATGTTCTGAAAAACAGGTATCGACATAAATCAACTAAAACCACAAAACATACCAATCATGAACAGAATACAACAAATCTAATCCACCGAATTTATGGAAATTTTATTTTTCCAAATCAATGGTACAGTAATTGAAATATCCAAACAGCGAACCAAATTAATCCACAAATCAGGAAACATATCACGAAATTTTCACATCAAAATCCCCAAAACACATTCAGGTTCCACAATTCAGAACTCAACTAAATTCCATCACAATCAGATCTAAAAAATATCCAGAAACCCCCAATTTTTCCCAGATCGCATTCATTTCCCTAAATCCGCCGCCAATTACTCACCAAAATTACAGATCTAACCACACATATCATCGAATCCACTGGAAAAATAAAAATCCACAATTCAAACTCACATCACTCAGAAATCGAACTACCCTAGCGATCGTAATACAAGCAACACAGAAAACGTACCTCGCGAAGCTTATAACGGAACAAAAAGGGGACTTTTGGCGTGATTTTTCAGTTTCCTTCAAATCCTCAAACGCACTCCTTAGTTCACAACCAAAGCTAGTTAAACGTGCTTGCATGTGATGCGCATATACGTACACCTCTATATATATACATACACGCCATACACGTACATTTCAATGAATTTTTATACGGTTGTGTAAGTGAATTCGAAGTGTAAAATGCGAATGTTGTTTGGTGGGGAAATGGGATTTGTGTGTTAGGGTTTGACCAATACCCAATGGAATTGAAATTTTTGCTCTCTCTCTCTCTCTCTTCTCTCTCACCTACTTGTATATTAGTAGTAAGATTTATTTTTCTTATGTTTTCCTTAATTATCGAATTTGGTTAGTGAAAAAATGAAATAAGCGCTTCTTTTAATAAAGCGTAATTCTATTTTAATAATATGTAAAGCTGTAAATAAATAATTAATTAATTAATTATGTTATCAGATTAATATAAATTGGGATACCATGTGACAGAAGAGGATATGCCTGGAGAAGGTGGTGGTGTAGGTGACTTTTAAGACAGAGGGGAATGAATGTATGAGATGTGAAGTATATAGGGAGGGCAGATTTGACCATGTGGGGGTGATTTATAGCTTTTCAAGATTTTGATTCTATTTTGATTTGTTTTGTGTGATCCACCGGCGAAGTGTATTTTTATTTTTTTATACTTGGTAGATTGGCAGATAGGGTTGGGGGAAAATTAATTTTGGTAAATAAATGAAATGTTATTTCTTTTACTTAATTTTTTGATGAAAGAAAAAAGCACCACACGTGGCTTTATGTCATTTGTTAAAAGTCAATATGACACGCGGCTTTATTCTATTTGCTAAAAGTCATCCGGGTTTTTTTAACGTACAGTATGAGATGAAGTTACAGAAATACCCTTTCGGTATTAAAGACTGTAGATATTAAATAAATATGTTATCACATTTACCTAGAAAATAGTCTCTCGCTTTAATCACGTCTGTTTTGTCTCTGTGCTTCGTTGTTGATTTTGTGAGGGTTTGGTTCGATTTGACCGTTTGTGGTGCGAGGATGGGAACCCACGATGCGATTCGTGTATTTATGCAAGAGTTCATGTAAGTCATTTGAATTTTATGTAAGTTGAATATAAGTTCATGCGTGTGATGTTTGATTGCTGGTTGTCGATCATTTTGATGGTGGGGATTCGAACTCAGGACTTTTTCATTTGATCTAGCTCTGATACCATGTTGAATGACCATCTCAACCAAAAGTTTAAGCTTTTAGTCAAATATATCATTTAATATTAATATCTCCAATAGATCTTATTAGATTTGTATCCACCAAATCATCTTCTTGTTTGTTACAATAATTTTGAAAACAACTTATACAATTTATATTACAAACATTAAACAGGCCAAAATGAAATGCTTCACATTTTGCTTACGATTTTCGAAAGACTCCCCATAGCTTTCGCTTTCTCCCGAAGAACAAACTTCTGCACCTTCCCAGTCGAAGTCTTGGGCAAATCCTCAAACACCACAGTTCTCGGAGCCATATAACGCGGCAATCTCCCCCTACAATACTCGATAACATCACCCGCAGTTGCCTCACAGCCATCCTTCAGCTTCACAAACGCACAAGGTGTCTCCCCCCAATAATCATCCGGCCGCCCCACCACTGCCGCCTCCATAACCGCCGGATGCCCGAATATCACCCCCTCCACCTCGATCGTACTTATATTCTCCCCACCGGAGATAATGATATCCTTCGACCTGTCCTTCAATTCTATGTACCCGTCAGAGTGCTTTACCGCCAGGTCACCGCTCCGAAACCACCCCCCTCTAAAGGCGTCTTTAGTAGCTTCTAGATCTTTTAAGTAACCGTTCATAACGGTGTTTCCTCTAAACATAACCTCCCCCATTGTTTTTCCGTCGGACGGTACACTTTCCATGGTGGAAGGATCTTTTACATCAACCTCTTCCATTCCGAGATGGTGTAACCCTTGACGGGCCTTGATCTTGGCCCGTTCTTCCGCGGGTAGCGGGTCCCACTCGGGTTTCCAAGTGCAAACCGTACCCGGCCCGTATGTTTCGGTTAGCCCGTACGAGTGAGTCACACTGAATCCTAGCTCCTCCATCTTAAAGAGCACCTGAGGAGGTGGCGGTGCGCCACCTGTCATGACCGAAACCTTTCCAGGGAGAGGTCTTCGTTGGTCAATGGGTGCGTTGATTAACATGTTCAAGACGGTGGGGGCGCCGCCCATGTGGGTGACTCGGTGGAGGAATATGCTGCGGAATATTCCCTCGGCGGTGACGTTCCTCAGGCAGATGTTGGTGCCGCCCTGTGCCGCCACGGCCCAGGTGAGGCACCACCCGTTGCAGTGGAACATCGGCACAGACCATAAATACACCGGCATGGATAGCATCTCGTTGAGAAGAGCTGCCGCTAGAGAATTCAGATAGGCTCCTCTGTGGCTATAAACAACTCCTTTGGGGCTCGAAGTTGTGCCCGAGGTGTAGTTGAGGGCGATAGGGTCAAATTCGTCTTTCGGCCTCACTACTAAAAAATTGGGTTTTCCTGATGCTAGGAAAGACTCGTATTCTTGATATTCTAGGGTTGAAATTGGGTTATCGGATTCTTGGATTAAGACTAGATAAGGTAATTTGATGCCTTGACCGGATAAGAGTTTGAGTGCTCCCTTGGCAGTATCGAAAAGCTGATAGTCGACGAATATGAATTTGGCTTTGGAATGTTTGAGCAAGACTGAAACCATCGATGAGTCGTGGCGTATGTTGAGTGTACAAAGGACTGCGCCTGCCATTGGAGCAGCAAAGTGGAGCTCGTACATTGCTGGTATATTTGGGGCCAAAACCGCAACCTGAGAAAAAACGAAAAAATCGAAAACGACTAAGATCCAATGTTTCTGATCTTTATGATAGCAGTATTCAACCATATGTTATAAGCATCGTCCTAACAAGACAATTAGTCACTAATACATAGAGCATTAGTTTCTACATTACGAATTTACGACATTCTTCATACATGTGAACTAGTTTCGGAAAAAAGAAGAATCAGATACGACGAGCACGAGACGGGTAAAATAGGCAACGGGTTGTTGTTATAAGTCGAGTAGAATTCGATGGTTTTAAGATTGGGTCCAATTTTGAATGCGTGATCTTTAATTTTAGCTGCTGCACCAAACTCAGAGACACTTAATGGATATACTCAGGATTATATATGCACAATTATTCCTAACTTATGCCAGAAGCATTAATTCCTAACTTAATCGATATTTCTGGCAATAAATTCTCAGATTTGTGCTAATTATTAATATCATGATATACAATCCCAGAGCACAAAAGTTTAATCAATCACAATAAAATAAACAAACCCCAGGAGAGAGAGAGAGAGAGAGAGAGAGAGAGAGAGAGAGAGAGAGAGAGAGAGAGAGAGAGAGAGAGAGAGAGAGAGAGAGAGAACTGACAACATCGCCGCGAGAAATTCCGGCGGAGCTGAGGGCGGAGGCGAGGCGGAGGCACCTGTGATGGGTCTGTTTCCAGGTGAAGTTGATATGACCATAGACAACAGAAACTCTGTCTCCGTACACAACAGACGATCTTTCCAAGAAACTAATGGGCGTTAAAGGAATATAGTTTGCTGAGCATTTTAAGGTACCGTTTTCCATATCTTCCGATTCCTGCAATTTTCCACTCACCACAAGTCCACCCCAGAAATCAAACTGCTGTAAATAATGTAATAAATTCTTTAAGAAAAAAAAAATGCATTTGTCAGTAGATTGAGTAGTGATAATGTCACTTGCCTAATTTAAGTTGCTTTTTGGTTTCTTTATGGACCGTAGTATGTATGGTCTGGCAGATGCCACCTCCATAGTTTAATAACCCCACTTAAATAATATTTTCTTTCGGTCTTATGGAAACATGTTAAATTATTAACTCGATAATTTAATAATTCGCTGATACTATTGATTTATAAATGTTTAACTGTATTAGAGCAACTGCAATGGAGTTATTAAATAAGTTATCAAATCTCTTAACTACCATTTAACTCCTAAAATTTAAAAATTTTGTTCTCCAAAGGGTTATTAAAATAAGTTTGTATTTTGATATGTCACCACTTTAAATTTAAAAATACTTCCTCCAGATTGAGTTACCAAAAAAATAACCACCTAACCAACCAATCACAAATTGGCATGTGATGATTACATATAAAATTATCAAAAAATTTCCAATTAATAATAAAATTTGATTACCATGGTTGGAGTATATGAGTTTTAAATATATTTTAAAATATTATCTTAAATATCAAATAAGCATGTGATAATCCAATTTTGATATTTTGCATTGGAGTTGCTCTTAGATAACTTCTTTTTTCTCTCAAAGAAAAAAAACAAATTTATTATTATTGATTCAAACACAATTATTATACAGTGTAAATTACGGTCATCCCATGAAATAAGCTGAAATTACGAAAAAACCCATTTTATTTGGGTAATTATAACCACCACTCATATAACAAATATACGATACAACACAACTTAAAAGAGAAATCAAATACACAGGAGACTGTACATTATTGAAGAAAAGCCATCACAGGCCCAAAACATTAGTCGTAACACAAACTTAAAAAGTCAACGGAAGTAACCGTAGAGCTCTAAGAAGCATATGCAAAGGCTCCAAGGATTAGTGGCATCAGTCGTAGGAGCCACCAGAACAACTCGAAAGAATCTGAACGGAAGAAGGGCGGTGGGCCCCACAACGGGCCAAGATGCAAATTGACCGGGCTTGCTCATCGTTTCATCATTCTCGTGTACTCTCAAGTTCGTCCAATTGTTTCCGTCCATTGAACCCTGCCAAACAAGTCACTATGTAAATATCAAACAAGAATTGAGCATAAAATTGACGTATACAGTGCGTGTGTGTGTGTATAATTATTACCTGAAAATTCCAGTTCCGCATGAAAGCCCTCGACCCGTCTTGTCTAAGTGTATAATGGTTGCACATCAACTGCGCAAACATAAAAATAAAATAAAATAAAGAACTGTATATGAAAAATATCATTATGTGGAAATCAAGAAGTTGTATATCTAACCTGATGACTATGGCCAATGTCAACCATCCACCATGCAGTGTTTCTCCCGTTCTCCATACGAGGGCCCGCAAAAGATGTTCCCTGGTAAGCAACAATTTTTTTAACTAATATTCTAACTGTATAAAAAAATGAAATATTTAATTTTGGATTGATTGTGGGTAAAGTTATTACCAGGTAACTCCTGGAGACCAAAACCTTAGGATCGGTGAATCTGGAAAACGGACTGCTTGCGGTAATTATTACTTTCTGAAACATATTATGGGAAAAGCCGATCAGTGAAATGTGTAGACCATAATTGTAAACAGGTAAAGAGATGAAATAGAAGGGGTCACACGTTTTACCTTAGATAAGACGGGATTTACCCACTGATGTTCACCGTAGGATGTACCTGCAAAGTACAATACCCCGTTGCTATCTCCATCACATATGTACTGGAGTTCCTTAAAACTCGATCTCCTGTGCTGGAATTTACTGTCGAAAATGGAACTTCATCAGCATCAATTTTCTACTTTTTTTTCTTTCCTTTTATTTAGGGGTAATTTAGACATTTTACTAGTTATGTTAACAAAATTACTTACTTTAAGTCTTTCTCATGAGCAGAAGATCCAAATTCGAGAAAACCAATGGCTTCTTTCACCTGTTTTGAAAATTCGAGATAAGCGACTTACTTTTGAGAAGGATTTCAGGACAAAAATTATCTGAACTTTACCAATTGACAGAATGTAGGAATGCACATGCTAAGGTTGCTTCGCTCCAACTGAAATTTTTTAACAGTTTGACAATTAGAAAATGGTCAAACGAATTTCTCGTGGACTTGGCTAAAAACATTCATTTAGGATATACCTTTTGAAGAACCGGATAAGGAAGTAATGGGAACCGAACAAAACTTAGAAATTCTTTAAGCGAGTTAAGCCTTTCGCCGAAAACAAGCTCTGGTGGTGAACTTAGCAGAATTTCATCTACTCTGTCCCATCCAAACAACTCTTGCGCTTTGCAGCACCAAAGTAAGATCGCATTGAGAACTCGTTCTTCAGAAGTAACTGTCAAATCTGGATGCTGCACAAACAATTTAAATATATATTAATTTTGATTGAATTTTATAATTCTTGGACCAATAATATATACTAGTGTAATTGGGCTTTTTTGGGTCCTTTTTTTTTTTTTAAATAAAAGAGTGCTTAAAATTGATAATTTTTGCAATAGCATAACGAAATCAAGAATCACCTGGAGAATATTCCCGAATGTTGTTTCGTCTAACGTGACAAAGTCGATGCTTGCGGTTGTACAATAATCAAAATGCATCGAAAACTTCCTCTCACATGTTTCTTCGATTAATTTACACGAAGGAATGGATGAAATCACTAGCAAAATTTGGCAGACTGAATCCTGCAATAAAGTCCAATAATTAGCCACACGAACAAAACATTGTTGCAAAAATGCCCGCTTCCTCGTCCATTAAACTTGGCATAATACAAAAACTTGTAGCATGAGATCTTCTGCCACTAGAACTCCATGCCTGCATATAATGTATACATGAGAAGTATCAATATTTTAATATTTTTAATTGCCATATATCTCTGTTTGTGTTGATAAGCCCGACACTGCACCATTTTCTCCATTCTTTTAATTCAACTAGTCCCAACTAAAAAGCTTAGTTAAATAACAAATAAACAGCCTATAAGAAAATAATTAATTAGACAGTTACTGTATTACCTCAGATAAGTGTTCTAAAAGCCTTTTGCAACATTCCCGATGAAGAAGAGAAACCCCAAACTGATCTGCCAGCAAAAGAAGCTGAAGTAGCAATGTGTCGATATCCATAGTGTTGTTAACTTCTCCACAGTACATGAAATCGAGCATAATATTAAATGCTTCAAAGCAGACATCTTTCAAGCAGACTTTCGAGGCAATACTTTCAGTCATTCCATTCGTGAACATCTGTAAATAATTTTTTTTTATCACATTAATCAGCCTTTTCACACTAAATAAATATAGGTATCTACAATGGGTCGATAATACTGAAGATCTTCCACAATTATGTGGATTTATGAGTTCGATTTCAGCCTACCTTTGTAAAAGGAGCACTCCATATGCCAAGAATGATTCTGTGTGATTTTGCAATTTGACCATGGCCTTCAATATAAATATCTACATCGCTGTAGTCTCCAGTGAGTCGGAAACTATTGAGCCTCTTAACATCAATGGGTAATTTGTTCAGAAAAACCGTGCAGCAGTTGAGCCGAGCGCTTGGGTATGATATCTCTACACTTTTTCCCGAGTCAAAAAGTTTCTTATTGAGTTTAAATCTCTCCATCATTTCTTCACACTGCTTAGCCAACGTATTTACTTCGAACTGTAAGCTCAGAGATTTTAAAGAACTGAGATGCAACTCTGGAACCTACATCAGCAGTATCATATGAACTGAGTTCAATATTTTATGATTCACGAAGTTTATGTAAATACTTATGTTTTTAATGTAAATTATGATAAATGAGATATTGGCAATTTCTGAGTTAAACTTCTCAAAATCACCAAACACATTAATTTTTCTTCAATTATGTCAGTTTTAGCAGATAATGATGCAATTTCATTTATTTCCATCAATACTACCTTTTTAGGTGAAGAAAAAACTAGAATGATAATCGTAAACATACATCAAATATTTTATCAAAATTACAAAACTAACCTTGGTGGTGCCTGTGTATATGTACTCAAGAAGTGCATGAAGTATCGGATAACAATCATCTTCGAGGTGAATAAAATCTTTCCCCGACTGACCAAAACCGAAATTTCCCGAAGCAGCCAATATAACTTTATGTGCGGGAACTGCCCTTTCCTCACTTCCAACAACAAAGCACACATCCGACAATTCCCAACTCTCCAAAAAATTCTTGAGCCCCCAATTTTCGTACTCTCCAATATCTTCTTCCATCTCTTCATCAGCATCTTCTGTGCCATTACTTTCGCCACAGTCAATGTGCTTCCACAAAGAAACATGGTTCTGCGTAAGTGGAAGCACATTAATATTCCTATACCCAACATGCCTATCCCAACTGCTAAGCCCAACATATTGAACGCTGCAATTTGGGTTCGAATCGAGCCATTGGAAAACGAGGTTTTGAAAAGGGTATCTCCCTTTTCCGATGCTTATTAGGCCATCGTATATGCTGATCCAATAACTCTGAAATGTGGAAGAGCAGTAAAGATCGACACCTGTAACATCCACCACTGTTTTTCCGTCGACTTCGATATTTAATCTTTTATTTCTGTGGCTACCGATAATTACTGTGTAATGAGGGCTGTTGTCTCTTTTGTAATGATAATGCTGACTGCCCGTTTTTTCGCGGAAGACAACTGTTACGTCGTTGTGTGCAAAGGCGTCGAAAGCTACACAGCCTCTACCTGCTTCTCTGAATCTCAAATCATCTCGCCACGCACACTCAAACGGTGCCACTGTGAGGAATTTCTTCTGCTTCTTTTCCATTGTTAGAATTAGGAGCGGAAAAAAACGGGTTTTGTTTATTCAATTGGCACTTCCACTGCAAATCAAATCAACCACAATTTAAAAACGGATCAACAAAAAGAGAGCCTTAATAAATAAAAAATGGCATGTAATGGATAAGCAAATGTATCAAGAACTACAAAATAAAGTATCAAATACACCAACAAATGGCATAAGTGGTGAGAGAAGTAAATAGTTGGCTACAATTGATTTTATATCATAATGTAAAATTGAAGTCTGACTATTTACTGGGGAATTGAAATGAAAAGCACCCAGTAGATAAAAACTCTTCGAATTCAAGAATCATAAAATTTGAATCGATTGTGAGGTTTGACTATACTGCATTGTATCCTCGTGAAACCATCTTGACAAGCTTTTAGAAAGTACTATTGCTAACAAACACACATACACACAACAAATATATCAAGTAGCAGAGAAAAACAGGGGGAAAACTAGGAGAGCAAATGAAAGAACATATAAAATTGCAGCATAATTACCGCAGACGATCCTTCAACAGTAAGCAGAGTTAAAGAAGTCCGAAAAAGCAGGTATTGATAGAGAGATTGGATAAATTCAAAGGTAATGTCCTGAATTCAGAAGGGAATGAGGGGAATTTGGGTTGAGATTTAACTTTAGTTTGGCTAGTGAGAGAAGCATCAATTTAAAGAAATTGGATAAAGAAAACCACTATTGAGATTTCACTATCACCTGAAAGAAAAAATTGGGAATGAAGATCTTCAAAGGGATTGCAGGTTGTCAGAATCTGAGACAAGCCCATAAATTGCCATAAGTTTATCCACAAATTTAATGCAAATATCCATTACGCACACAAGTTGCAAGAATCCTACACCACATTCCCATCCAACTTCAGAAATAAAAAATATCTCCCAAACAGAAAAATCCAATCATGCATTTTTTATTTTATAAATAATAAGACTCACATGTATCAGAAACAAGAAACCAGCAAATGAGCACGAGCGAAACCCACCAAAGAGAAAAACAAGATTCTGTATAGATAAAACACCTCAATTTTCAGCAGATATATATAATACAAAAAGATGAAGAAAAATCACCAGTACCTGGCAGAAAATCATATCCTCAACAAACCATCTTTTTCAAGATAGCACCTTTCCCATATGTACAAGATTTCCACACATGATGACAAAACAATGAAACCGATGTTTGTGTGTGTGTGTGTGTGTGTGTGTGTGTGTGTGTGTGTGTGTGAGAGAGAGAGAGAGAGAGAGAGACGAATTATTACTTGATTAAGAAAGAGAAAAGCAGAGGCTGGCAAAGAGTCCATACAACATGGGATTGGATACTTTGAGAGGGGGTTGAATTTTGATCCTAAAATAATACTGTAGAGTAGTCTGTTTCGTGGAGATGATGATGAGAATTATTGTCAAAGGTCAAGAGACAGTTGGGGGAAAATGGATCAACGTGGCATTTAGACCGGGCATTTTGTCGAACGGGTGGCATGCGTTTATACTTTTCATTTTGGCGTTGTACGGGAATTCTTGATTAATGAACACAAAGAGAGAAGACTGTCTTCGTGTAAAGAAAACCATTCTCTAATCAAGAATTAAAATTGAAAGATAAATTCAATCGCATTCGCATTAAAAAAAAAAGGTCAATTTCTCCAGAAATACACGGGAATAAAATCCAAAGGAAGAAAGAAGTTTGATTGCTTTTGTTGGGTAGTGGATATATAATTGGGAGTCTTTATCGGCCACATCAGATTGAAGTGGCGATGTCCCCACTCCTCATATCCAAGCCATCAATTTTTTGGACTATATTCAAATTGTTCCACTAATTCAAATGATTTTGATTTTGGTGTGAATATTGTGAAATGAATACCAACCGGGACTAATATTTTTTTATTAATTTAGCAAAAATATTAATTTATCGGGTTATTAATTTATCGTGGCTCTACAGTAGTTCGTACATCATGCAATATATTTTTATTACAAAATGTAAGTTATCTAAATTTCGAACATGTAAAAACATACTAGGGAAAACCGTCGAGGGGAAAATAGCAATTTTTAAGCATTTGTGCAGAAATTTAACGAGTTCGAGGGAGAAATGTACACAAAAAAAAAATTGTTTTTACTGTGTCGTGCAAAGGTCAATTAATCCAGGGGCAAAAGTGTCTTTTACTATTGAGTTTGAGGGGGAAATGTATAAATTTTACGGTGTCGTGCAAGAGGTCGAATAATCCAGGGGCAAAAGTATCTTTTACTCAAATTTATAATTATAAATCTCTTTTACAAAACACCATCAGGAAAGAAGACTATGATGTATAGAAGTCTTGAAAAGCAACTTATGTTGCTCAGTGTCACTTTGCAAAGCAAACTCCATTGCTATATCTCTATATCTATATCAATGTATACATATATAGAGAGAGAGAGTGTGTGTTACTAAAACTCGGCATCATTGAGAAGAAACCGAGCAGGTTCCGTTTTAGCAGCATAGCCGTATTTCGAAGTACTATACTTCTTGTGCACGCATGTAAGCTTCCCCGTGCCTGCATTCTCGTGTAAACGCACCATCATTGTTGCACATTCCCTGCACCAAAGTAAAATTAATTCTTATTCAATTACGTACAAAAATAAAATAAAAAAAAAATCTTCGTATTTTTATCTCGTAAAATGATTATGAAAAAATAAAATGTCAAGGCTGCTTACACGAGCTGGTCTTTGCTGTAGTTCGTGTATCTCTCGCACGTCTTACTCCACTGCTTATACCCGCTGAGAGTGCATTGAGCTGTAAAGATTGCAGCAGATGCTAGCAGAGAAGGTGGGAATCGAAGCATCTCGTATTGAACGAGGCTTAGTTCGATTATGAAGAAAGATAGCAGCTCCAACTGTTTTTCGGATTTTTTTTTTCACAATTAGACAACAGTCATTTAATCAATAATAATAATTAACCAAAAAAAAAACACAGCTTGCCTAATTATATCATTTAATCAAGAAACGACTAAGATTTCGATTTTCAAATGGAAAATTCATTTAATTCGTAAAACAAATACGGGTTTTCTATTTTTTTCAATTTAATCACGAAACGACTAAGATATAAAACTAACCCTTTTGTCGGATTGAGCTGCTTTGAGGAAACGTCTCATGAACACGTACGGAGTCGGAACCGATAGATTGAACTGCAAGGTATTGATCATCAACTTTTCCTGCAGTAGAAAATATGGTCGAATAAAATAAATAAATAGATTCCTCATTGCAAAAAAAAAGAAGATTATAAAACTATACCATATCGAGGAAAAAAAGAAGATTATAAAACTATACCATATCGAGGACTTCTTGTCTGCTATAAGCTTTGTCGGATATCAATATTAGGTCGTCCACAACGGGGACCGAAACTTCTTCGTATTTGCAGGCAAGAAGCATAGCTGTCACTCCAACGAGCTGTAATTTCTTTCGCATGACTGATTTGTTGACCGATAAGAATCTATCGATTATATTTACAGTCAAATATAGCGTCTCTTCCATCAGTTCGAACTTGTAATGCACCTATAACAAAACCAGTAATATTTGGTGAATGGTTCTTTTTTTTTTTTTTTTTAAACTTAATTTCATTATTTTTAGTGCAATTTAATTCAGTTTTTACCTCAATTAGCCAGTCAATGAGGATTCCCCTCATTCTTTCATTAATGTCGAATTGCTGGTCCATGTAATTCGGTGGGACACAGCTTAAGCTCTGCAATCAAAATTACACAACCGAAAACGTAAATACACGGATATTTTGTTTAGTGCAATTGAAAATTTAAAGAATAAAAAGGAGAGAGAGAGAGAGAGAGAGAGAGAGAGAGAGAGAGAGAGAGAGAGAGAGAGAGAGAGAGAGAGATTTCACCTCGGTTTTGTTATAATGTGCATATACATCATCAATATACTCGGTAACAGCTAGTGGATTCTTCTTATCGCAACTATCGATATCGGCCACTGGCTCAATTTCCTCGATTTCCTCCATTTCAACTTCAGCATCCTAGATCATCAATTCACAACATGGAAATACTTAAATTCCTCAATTTTTTTAAGATATAGATATAGTGACAAAATACCAAGTTAACCGAAACGAGTAAGTACCATTCGATCAATTTCGTCGAGCATAGCTTCTGTATGTTGCACAAACATAGGAACATCATTGTCATCATACATTGACTTATACTCCTCGGCATCGACGATTACACAGTCCTCCAATTGACATGTACTCGACTTTGATTCGACGAATGATTTAACTTCCTAAAATCAATCATTTCTTAGGCACAATATATAACTAACAAAACTACTGAAAAAAAAAAACCCAATTACTAAATATACCTTAATAACAGGCTGTTGCAATTTGCCAGCCAATTGTGCAGCAAATTTCCTGAAATTCACCAAAAAAATACTAAATTAAATACAGACATATACATATTCTGCAGAAGAACACAAGAAATCAAGAATTAGGTGGGGATTGACAAACCTAGTGATGGGACGATGAATCGGAATTACGGGTTTCTTACCACACACGGCGTTTTTCCTAAACACGATTAACAGTATTAATGTGACAATTAAGATTAAATATCAAAGATTAATTAAGGTTAATGAAAAATCCATACTCTGTCAAAACCCCTCTTTTTTGAGATTCTTTGATGTTCCCATTGATAATACTCAATGCTCTCCTATTATTCCCTATTAAATAATAATAATAATAAACAGAATAAATAAAGATTAATTTCTTTCACCGTATGATCATATAGTTAGAATTTCAATTATTACTATTACTATTTTTTTTTTTTTTTTGAAATTTCGAATTACCATGAATGTTTGATTGTCTGATCGCAGCCGGGAAATTCTCGTCTGATCCACCCATTTGATTTTCCTTCAAGATGTAAGCTACTGAAAATTTGAAAAAAATAAAATCAGAAATTAGAACAAAAAATCGCTGGAAGAATCAAGGATTGCAGAGGAGAATCAGATTCCGAAAATCAAGAATCAAGAACTAAACGACAAAACCCAGATCAAAAAACAAAAGAACAAACCTTCAAAATCAAGATTAAAGATTAGAACTTTCTGCAAATGTATGTATTACTCGAGAAATCGCAAACAAGAAAGAGAGAGACTATACAGAAAACCCCATCAAATCAATCGATGGAGTATTAATATTATAGATACAAGTCTCTCTCTCTCTCTCTAAACACACACACTCAGTGTGTGAACTTTTTGATTTCTTGAGTTTTCTTTTCTGCAATTGAATTTTTTTAAGGATGATTTGGGATAAAACGAAAACAGCGGATTTATGTCGGTTTGCAGAAGATGAATTTCTTTCTTTCTCTCTCTTCGAAATATTTGAAAACAACGGCTAGTAAACAACAAACGTTGACCGTACGATGAAGGGATGCGTTTGTTCTCTGTTTGGGCTAACGGTTATTTTTAATTTTTTTTTCCCTTTGGATCTTTTGAAAAGGTTTGTCATTAAACTTTATGCCCTTTAAAAAAGTCTTGTTCTTGAAATTAATGTTTCAAACTTCTCCTCCACTTAAATTCATTTACTTAATAGTATTATAAATATATGATTTCCTGTGTTGAAAAAAAGAAAATAAAAAATAAATGATTTTCTTTTTCTGTTAAGCCAAACAAAACAAACACATGATTTTTTCCCCAAATAATGCCACATGTAAGGCCCGATTATGCGATTATGCAAATATATGATCAAATTAATCATTCTATGCTTTTAGTAAGAGGGGTAAAAAGGTAAAAATAAAAAATAAAAAAAATTTGGTAAATTTTCACACGTCAAAACAAAATATTTTCACCTAATAAACATGTAACTATATAGTATATAGATAGGGATGTGATAAATGTTGTTTCAGTTTTTATAATATCGTTTTGATTTCAAACATGATTTTGGCCATTTTCGAGTTTGAATTTGGCAAAATTCAGAACATGGAATTTGTAGTTCTTTGAGTTAGCCTACTAATCTAATTTGAATCGCCAAGATTGGATGTCGGTTGAAAGAGTTATTGCATGAATCAATGAACACTGCCCACAACTTTGATGTTTTAAATTATGTAAAATTTAAAAGGTAACTCATTCACGCATAACTTTGTCACCCGATCGATATCCAATCCAGCTGATTCATGTTGGATTGAAAAGCTATCTCAAAGGACTACAGTTTCCGTCTTTTGAATTTTGCCAAATTCAAAATAGAAAATAGTCAAAATCACTTTCAAAGTTAAAGCGATATTAGTAAAATTAAAACGACATTTAACATTTCATATATAGATATCACTGGACACACTTATTGAACTGTCAATAATTGATAAGAAGCATGAAAATCTGTAAACAAAAAATTCAAAAAGGGAAAGCTTCTAATACTGAAGTAGCCTTCAAAACCAAAAAGGAAACTTGTTTTGTTTTTTTTTTTTTCTCAATTAAACTTGCAAATATGTATTTATTATGCATATATTGTTCCGTTAAGTTCTGCATCAACCGGAAGAAACTCAGCGGGTTCAGTTTTAGCACGTTCCCTGCAAACGCCAGAAGCACCAAAGTAAATATACTTTATTCTTTGCATTTTTTATTTTATTTTTTATTGTAAAACGATTATTACAACAAAGGAAACTTACTTACATGAGCTGGTCGTCGTTGTAAATCACGTGCCTCTCACATATTTCACTCCACTGCTTATACATTACCAAGGAAAGCAGCTCCAACTAGTTCAAGTTTAGCGCACACAGAATAAGTTGGTAAATTTTTTAACATGGCTTCCCTAAGTTTACAATTAATCGAAAAACAACTTATAACATTTTGACATACCCTTTTGTCCGATTGAGCAGCTTTGAGGAAACATCTCATAAACGCGTATGGAGTACTTGGCGCTGACAGATTAAACAGCAAGGGATTATTGATCAACACTTGTTCCTGCAAGAGAAAATGGTTGGGTTGATCAAGCCAGAATTCCCTTTTTCTCTCCGAGAACAAAAGTAAATTATTAAATACATATATATAGAACTACCATATCAAAAATAAATTATTAAATATTTTTTATTTTTTTTATATTAGATTTTCCCTCTAAAACGATGAGGAGAAGGCCACTTACATCCCGTGCTCAACGATGCTGAGTTCAATTATGAACAGGGATAGCAGCTCCAACTAGTTCAAGTTTTCACAAAGAGAAACATATTCCTTTAGTCATGAGTTAAACAACATTGCTTTTCTAAGTTTGGATTTAATTAAAAGATATCGATTATTGACTAACCACTTTGTTGGGCTGCACAGCAGCTTTGAGGGAACGTCTCCTGAATGCATATGGAGTTGCGGCTGACAGTTTAAACCGTGAGTTGTTGCGGATCAATTTGTCCTGCAGGACAGATTCAGAAACACAAAATTTCCTTGCTAGATTAACATAGAAACGGAAAAGCAAAATGATCGAGTAAAGAGAAAAAAAAAAACATAGAACACATGTCTAACTTGCATAATAATGCTAAAAAGTTTTTGAAAGAATATACAATAAACATATATCTACTTGCCTGGAAAGGTGGAGGATTATCAGTTCTTTTTATCGGATAAACCGCAAACAAGTTCACACAGCAAATCCCTTCTGGCCTTCCAGAATTTCTTGGAAGGCACATGTACCCTCCTTCGATCCCCCAAGAATTTTTCAAAATCCAATAATTCTCAGCTTTCTTCCCCTTTTCTGTATCCAATCCCATAGTGATCCATCTTAACATTCAAGCTCGCCCTTCTCAACATTTGGACCTCTATGCACTTCAACATGAGTTGAAATTAAATCTCAACAAATAAACATAAAAAAAAAATTACGCCTCTGTACATATGAAAATTGTCATAATCGATGTATAGACGAACGATGACAGATTGTCGGATGACTGCCCTCAAAAGGACTTCTTCATTCTCATATTCCACAATTTTAAACCCGTCAATTGTCACAGTATCCTTCCGTAACTATAATGTAACAAATAAGTAATTTGAGCCAAAATTCAACTTCGGTAAAAAAGATGAAATATAAAAAGTATGATACTTACTCGATCTCGTTTGCATTTTCCACTATCGCATGTACAGAATAGTCCAACTCGTAGGAGATTCCATGTTTCTTGACATATTTAAGAGCATCAATCACACTTTCTTTGTTTTTTCCGGCGCACGAGCTATTTTTTTTGCCGCGAAAGCGAGCATATCTGCCGCATAAGTTGTATAAGCGACTATGACCAGGCGCACAGTCCAGTATCTCCTGAGCCGAAAGCTCAACCAAAATGCCAGTTTTGATCCATATGCTTACATCAAAACTGATATTTTGGTTGAACTTTTGGCTCAGGAGATACTGGATTGTGCGCCTGGTCATAGTCCCTTATACAACTTATGCGGCAGAGATGCTCGCTTTCGCGGCAAAAAAAATAGCTCGTACGCCGTAAAAGCAGAGGAAGTGTGATTGATGCTCTTAAATATGTCAAGAAACATGGAATCTCCTACGAAAGGGACTATCCCTATACAGGCGATAGTGAGAAATGCAAACGAGATCGAGTAAATATAATACTCTTTGTATTTCATCTTTTTTACATAAGTTGAATTTTGGCTCAAATTACTTATTTGTAACATTGTAGTTACGAAAAGATACTGTGAAGATTGACGGGTTTAAAATTGTGGAGTGTGATAATGAGGAAGCCCTTCTGAGGGCGGTCATCCGACAACCTGTCATCGTTCGTCTATACATCGATTATGACAATTTCCATATGTACAGGGGCATAAGTTTTTTTTTTTTATGTTTATTGGTTGAGATTTAATTTCAACTCATATTAAATGTAAAATGTTAAACTGCAGAGACTGCATAGAGGTCCAAATCCAAATGTTGAGAAGGGCGAGCTGAAAGTTAAGATGGATCACTATGGGTGCAATTCTATCTTGCAAAAGTGAAAGTGAGGCCAAAATGTTTGTATAAGCGTAAGTGTATGTGAGGTGAGAGAGAGAGATGAGGGCAGAAAGTATGTGATTGTTCTTATAAGTAAAGTTTATATGCCTTTCGTCAACACAGCCTCAAGGAGTGAATCCACAATGTTTGGTAAGTATGGCATGCAGCTGTTTCTCCATAACACCGTAATCCCTACCCTCAACCCTGTCCACTTCCTTCCCGTCTTTTAGGACCATAAAAGAGGTCCATCCGCTTTGAATGCCTTATAAATAGTCTGCACACAACGTGATAAATTAAGCAAAAACCTAGTTCCTCCCATGTAAAAAAAAAAAAAAACAGATCAAAAGTAAGCAAAGTGAAGGAAAAACACCCCAAGCTCAGCAATATTCATTTTCCAATATGTACCATAAAGATTCATCTTGATGAAGATAACATTTGCGTTCTTGGCAAACTTGGGATGAATATAACGGCATGGTTCGAACCACGACTTCGTGAAATCCAACACTACCTGGCGAAAAGGTTTTTGGTTTCCCATGTCAACAAAAACCTAGAGATAATATTTATAAAATTGAAGAACATCCATTCATTTTTTTTTATGGAGTCGAGACCAATCTTTAGATCACGAAATATCGAGATCCCATTGAACAAGAAAAAAACATTTTCTCGTTTGCTTCAATATGAGGTCGTGATTCTGCATAGTTCACCAAAAATATTTGCATAAAATTCTCAATTAATGTCCAACAGGTCCCAACGGCAAGCAACTCAGTGATCAAAAGAGCATTTTTAACAAAAATATACGATCCACCACCATTGGGAACAAAGAAACTTGATAAACATACGAGCATGGGAAAAATCAAAAACCAAGAAATACGTAATCAAAGAACCAAATCCCACAAAAAGTAAACAAAACTCAAATCTCGTATACAACAGGATAACAGAGCCCACGACAAGAAATCGAGCATTACCAGTTTTCCGGAGTTGGCACCCTTCTCCAACTGCTCCCTCCACTCCTCGAAGGAAGGGCAATGTATCACTTGTCCCTTTCCTGAAAAGATTGAGTACATGAGAAACTCGAAAACACGGAACAACAAAGAGTTTGATTACGGAATGAATACAATTGCAACTATTTACCCAAATTTCTCACAAAAAGGGCTCCATTTGGACAACCTGTCCTCCTAGTATAAAGGGCTTTATACTCCTCAAAACTTATATCAGCTAACCCATTCAGACCGACTGTGCGATTACCTAAGTCGTTTCACGTATTCGCGATTTTCATCAAACACCTTCAGTCTGTGCTCTTTTTCTTCCTCAGAAGCATACGTTTTTTCATACTTTTTACACCATCTTTCGAATACAGTGCGAGTGCTAGTTGCAAAAGGAAACCTTTTTTGTAGATTGTTGCTAAATTCCTGCGCGGGAAAACCCTTGCGCGGCGGATTCAGCAGCCGATTGCAACCGATCTTGCTCAATAACGCCTTCGCGCCCAAATTTCAAATTTCAAAATATAAATAAATAAAATTTCAATTCAATTCAATCAGAACAATCAATTGCGATGCTTACATTCACCACCACCTATAAATCTGTATAAAAAAACCGAAAAAATTAAAGAATACCTTGCATGAGGAAGCGACGGAGGTAGCCATGGCGTCCGGTAACAGATGAAGGATGCGTTTGTAGGTTTTACTCTGATTTTTTATTTTTTACGATTTTTTTTAATTTTATAAATAATATATAAAAAATAAAAAGTCATTTAAAACAATTATTTTTCTATATTCTATTATGGATTGTTTTTCTTATACTAATTTTTTTTTTGATATCTTATTTTTTTAACACAAAATAAATATTTTTTTTTAGTAAAAAAGATACGTATACTTGTTTGTAGATGAATTATTATAATAAAAAAATAGGTCAAATTACGGTCACCCCTGAAGTATGGTCAAATTATGAAAAAACCCACATTTGTTTGGATAATTACATGCCACTCCTTTTAAATATTTTAACATAAATTTTATGTAATTCGGTTATTACTGAGTCAAATCGTATATTTAGTTCGTTAAATGATATGAAACGATGGCGTATCAAAATTTCGGTTCGCTTTATCCGAATTAACATCCTTAAATTTACCTCTGAAGGGGTCTTTTCGCAAGATAATGCATAGTTGAAGGGGTGACTGTAATTAACCAAACAGAAGGGGGATGGCGTATCAAAATTTCGGTTCGCTTTATCCGAATTAACATCCTTAAATTTACCTCTGAAGGGGTCTTTTCGCAAGATAATGCATAGTTGAAGGGGTGACTGTAATTAACCAAACAGAAGGGGGATGGCGTATCAAAATTTCGGTTCGCTTTATCCGAATTAACATCCTTAAATTTACCTCTGAAGGGGTCTTTTCGCAAGATAATGCATAGTTGAAGTGGTGACTGTAATTAACCAAACAAGAAGGGGGTTTTCGTAATTTGACCATAAATTAGGAGGTTGGCCTTAATTTTCTTTAAAACAATAAACATTAGCCATTCGACCTTAGCGCTGAGAGCAAGCAGCAATTCGTGAATCTTCTAAACAAGTTGAAAGGATTAGCCGGTCTTGAAGAAAACGTGATTCGTGACGAACCGGATGAGCCTAAATCTCTTACTAAAAGCATTTCAATTTTCTTTCACAATTCTCAATTATCAAACAAACTTATTATTCATTTAAGTTACAAATTCTCTCTTAGCCACTCGCTCGAACTCAAGCTCAAGCCGAGTCGAGCGTGTTGGGCTCGAGCTCAACGAGTTGTCATACTTTTGTTGACGACTCTTATAAACCCCTGTTTATCCAACATTTATCACTTAATCCTATAAAACACAACCACATGAAAGTAACATAATTATACATGCATAATAGAAGAAATGAGCAACCACAAGATAGTCCAACTACATTTTCAGAGACCAAAAACATAAAACATAATAGAAGCAATCAGTAAAACTCATAAATTATTACAAGCATCAAGCATAAGAGGATATTACTACAGACTTATTCTATGCTGCATCGAGTGAAGTTCTCCGAGTACATCATCACCATTGAATACACTCGATGATTATATGCCTTTCGTAAACCCAGCCTCAAGGAGTGAATCCACCATGTTTGGTAAATATGGCATGCAGCTGTTTCTCCATAACACCGTACTCCATACCCTCAACCCTGTCCACTTCCTTCCCGTCTTTTAGGACCATAAAAGAGGGCAATCCATCCGCTTTGAATGCCTTATAAATAGTCTGCACACAACGTGATTAATTTAGCAAAAACCTAGTTCCTCCCATGTAAAAAAAAAAAAAGATCAAAAGTAAGCAAAGTGCAAGGAAACATACCCCAAGCTCAGCAATATTCATATTCCGATATGTATCATCAAGATTCATCTTGATGAAGATAACATTTGCGTTCTTGGCAAACTTGGGATGAATATAACGGCATGGATCGAACCACGACTTTGTGAAATCCAACACTACCTGACGAAAAGGTTTTTGGTTTCCCATGTCAACAAAAACCTAGAGACAATATTTATAAAATTGAAGGACATCCATTCATTTTTTTTTACGGAGTCGAGACCAATCTTTAGATCACGAAATATTGAGATCCCATTGAACAAGAAAAAAAACAATTTCTCGCTTGCTTCAATACGAGGTCGTGATTCTGCATAGTTCACCAAAAATACTTGCATAAAATTCTCAATTAATGTCCAACAGGTCCCAACGGCAAGCAACTCAGTGATCAAAAGAGCATTTTTAACAAAAATATACGATCCACCACCATTGGGAACAAAGAAACTTGATAAACATACGAGCATGGGAAAAATCACAAACCAAGAAATACGTAATCAAAGAACCAAATCCCACAAGAAGTAAACAAAACTCAAATCGATAGACACAATCATATGCAACAGGATAACAGAGCCCACGACAAAAAATCGAGCATTACCAGTTTTCCGGAGTTGGCACCCTTCTCCAACTGCTCCCTCCACACCTCGAAGGAAGGGCAATGTATCACTTGTCCCTTTCCTGAAAAGATTGAGTACATGAGAAACTCGAAAACACGGAACAAAAAAGAGTTTGATTACGGAATGAATACAATTGCAACTATTTACCCAAATTTCTCACATAAAGGGCTCCATTTGGACAACCTGTCCTCCTAGTATAAAGGGCTTTATACTCCTCAAAACTTATATCAGCTAACCCATTCAGACCGACTGTGCGATTACCTAACGCATGCTGCTGTTTCACGTATTCGCGATTTTCATCAAACACCTTCAGTCTGTGCTCTTTTTCTTCCTCAGAAGCATACGTTTTTTCATACTTTTTACACCATCTTTCGAATACAGTACGAGTGCTAGTTGCAAAAGGAAACCTTTTTTGTAGATTGCTGCTAATTTCCTGCGCGAAAACACCCTTCCGCGGCGGATTCAGCAGCCGATTGCAACCGATCTTGCTCAACAACGCCTTCGCGCCCAAATTTCAAATTTCAAAAAAAAAATATCAATTCAATCAGAACAATCAATTGCGATGCTTACATGCACCACCACCTATAAATCAGTATAAAATTCAAAAAAATTAAAGAATACCTTGCATGAGGAAGTGGCGGAGGTAGCCATGGCGTACGGGAACAGAGGAAGGATGCGTTTGTAGGTTTTACTCTGATTTTTTATTTTTTACGATCTTTTTTACTTTTATAAATAATATAATAAAAAATAAAAAGTCATTTAAAATTATTATTTTTCTATATTAAGTTATGGATTGTTTTTCTTGTACTATTTTTTTTTTTTGATATTTTTTTTTAACACAAAATAAACATTTTTTTTAGTAAAAAAATATACGTATTCTTGTTTGTAGATTAATTCTTATAATAAAAAAAATAGCGCAAATTACGGCCACCCCTGAAGTACGGGCAAATTACGAAAAAAATCCTCTTACTTGGGTAATTACAGGTCACTCCTCATTTTAAATATTTTTACATAAAATTTATGTAATTCAGTTATTACCGAACCAAATCGTATATTTAATTTGGTAAACGGTTGTTGGCGTACCAAAATTTCGGTTCATTTTATCCGAACTAACATCCCTAAATTTACCTATGAAGGGTGTATATAGTTGAGGGGTGACTGTTATTACCGAAACAAAAGGGAGTTTTCGTAATCTATATCTATCTATATGGGCTCGTTTGGTTTGAGTGATAAGGGGTTATTGACTAATTAATCCAGCTGAATCAGACGTTTGGTTAGAGTGATTAAAGCCCATGATTGATGGCTGGCCCGATTTTTAATCCCTTAATTGAGTGATAACTTGTCCACCAAATATTGGGTGGATTACACAATCCCAAACAAATGAATACAGCTGGCATAGGGTACTTTACACTAATACCCTCATCAATAAATTCAATTAATCAAAATATCTGTTTTTCCCACCCACTACACACACAATCTTACCAATAACAGCAGATCCCCATTTCGAACGAATTTTCTTTTTTCCATTTTTTGCTTCACATGTGTTCTTCAACAGAGAAAGAACAATCACTGGGGTAAATTAAATCGTATACATATTTTTTTCGTGGATTCATTACATCTTCATCCCGCATTCATTATTTTTTTGAATTTCTTCAAGAATCGAACACATGAAGGTGTTCGTTCCGGCGTCGGTGCTCCTACTAACTCATACGCAGGATCGGTGAGGTAAATCTTCCTTTTTAATTAACATTTTTTTCTACAATTTTACTTATTATTATGATATTGTGGTTCTAATGTGTTGGGTATGGTATTTTAAATTATATTATATGTATAAAACTTGTTATTGATTTTGTTATTGCAGTTTCGTACAATTTTTGTTTGAAATGGATATTTGAGAGGAGCATGAAGAGATCTTGTTGGTTTTGGAAGAAATAATTAACATTTCCAAGTTATTCCTTATGGCATGTTGTGGGGCTTATCGTAAGTTAAAAAAACGTCGTGCAATTCGTAATCGTTTAGTGCGTTCTTATATGTCTTATAGTTTGAATGCTCGAGTGCCCGACCAGTTAGAAAAAAATAATAGATTGATACACGGTACTGATGTACATTGTTTTGATAATTTGCGTATGTCCAAAAATGCATTTGTCCGACTGTGTTTTCTAATTCAAAATTTTGGTGGCTTAGTTGATACATGGAATGTAGAAGTTAATGAACAATTGGCCATTTTCTTGCATATATTGAGACATCATACAAAAAATAGAATTGTAGGGTATAATTTCAACAGATCCGGGTATACGGTTAGTAAGCACTTCAATAGTGTTCTAAATACTGTAATTAAGCGATACCCGTTGTTGATTGTGAAGCCAACACCTATTGATGAGGGGTGTACAGACGTTCGGTGGAAACCGTTTAAGGTAACAAAGACATGTAGTTATCTTTATATATGTTTAGTAATCTGCAAACAAAGTGTTGTGAAACTTGTTGGTTTCAATGTGTAGGGATGTTTAGGAGCATTAGATGGTACTTATATAAAAGTTATGGTTGTTCAACTAGAAAAGACGCGCTATAGAAATCGCAAGGGAGATATCTCAGTCAATGTGCTAGGTGTATGTGATGCAACATTGTGTTATAATTATATTTTAACTGGATGGGAGGGTTCCGCTGCTGATAGTAGAGTCCTTCGAGATGCCGTTTGTAGACCTAATGGTTTGAGAATTCCCGATGGTACTGATCCTTTCCAAACCTCTTTCAATATTATTGAACATATATGTGATTTAAAAATATTTTTCATTTTGTGGATTTCAGGAAATTACTACCTTTGCCATAATGGGTACACAAATGGAGAGGGGTTTTTAGCCCCATATAGAGGTGTTAGGTATCACTTGGATGAATGGGATGACAATAATGCTCCTAAATATTATAAGGAATATTTCAATATGAAGCATGCCAAGGCTCGAAATGTAATAGAAAGATCGTTTGGGTTATTGAAGTCACGTTGGGGCATATTGCGTACTAGTTCTCATTATCCTATCAAAGTCCACAACCGTATTATTATGGCTTGTTGCTTGTTACAAAATTTCATTCGTAAAGAGATGCCCGTAGACCCATTGGAAGCAAGTCTCCGGCTAATCCATAACCCCAGCAACGATCCCGCACTTAGGTTTATTGAAAGTGTGGAAACCTCACAACAATGGGTGTCGTGAAGGGACGATATAGTTAGAGCTATGTACGATGAGTGGAGGACCAGACGATAATTTTAGTTACTTTGTTATTTGCATCACTATGTATTCAATTATTGTTGAACTTAATTTGTAGTATAATGTTATTTGTTGGCAATGCCGTCATATTTCATACCATGCTTATTATAATTTACTGAGTCTATCTTTTACTTCATTGGATTTCTTTAATGTAATATAATATTTGGGGTTCTAGTACACGTTAAGATGAATTCAAGGGCCATTTTTTGAGGTTTTTATTTCAATTGAGGAAATTAAAAAGACACTGGTGTCTTTGAAGAGTAAATGGGGGTCAATTTATAGAACAGATGGGAGGGGTGGTAGGTTATTTTTCACTTAATGCTTGCATAAGTGAAATGATTAGTATTCTTCTTGGAAAAGCAAGAAATTTAATACACACCAAAAGTTCATACGCATAAGTTCTGCAAAACGTCTACTTGCCAACTACATTACATTAATTACCTATTAATGTGTCAATAAAAACATTAATTACTTATGGATGCATTAAAAAAATTCTCCCTTTGACATGACAAGTCAGGGTAAATTTATTTATCACAATGTAATATGGAGATCTTGCAAAGAACAATACTACTCAAAATCAGATATCATACAATTAATTTCAGAACCTGAATTAATAGTTAAAGGCTACACAACAACATTTGAAAAAAAATCTTTTAATTCATACATACACCATGTAACACATAATGAACAACTAACATTAAGAACAACATACCAATTATAGCAGTCCAACAAAGTACCTTCATCGTTAAGACTTTACGTTTATACAATAATACCTGGGCTTTTAAGTAAGAATTCTCTTGTTCGTAAAGATTAAGCTTGGTCAATAGCCCAGATATAACCTCAACCGACGGTTCGCGAGTTGACTCGTCACACCATCTAAAGAAATTACAACGATGTTCCTACAAATATTTTTCCAAATAAAAAATAATTAGATAATTTCATAGCAATAATATCGTCTTCGTGGATTTTTTTCTGAAAGAACAACTCAAAATCAGTAAAATACTTAACGAAATAATTAGATAATTTAAATTATAAATTACTTACCTCTTTCAATGAACAACAATAAAATCGTCTTCCTGGATTTCTTTCCGTTCTCGAGGTTTTAATTGTCGTTTCCAAACCGCAATGACAATGAAAACGTAATCCAGAACAATAAGGATTAGACTCACCACTGTCACTGGAACAACAATTTGCCCTATTTCGCATATAGTTCGAATTCGATCTCATACTGGAAAATTAATAAATAAAAAACTCATGAGCAATGTGCGAAGTATATGAATCAAAAGTATAATTGAATGGGTGATTCCAAAATAATTTTACTTTACCTTCGGAACTTCAAATTCGTGCAGCTCTGTTGTAGAAGTTAAAGAGCCGGAACCCTAGACGAAATTGGGAGAGAGAAAGAGAGTCAATTTTGAAATGTTTGGGTTTATTTTTTAAAATGTTTAATATCTTTTTTTTTAAGTTAGGGGTATTTTCGGAATTTTTATATAAATTTCATCCACAAGAAATAAAATGCTATTTTTAATTGAAGAGTACAATCACCCATACCAAACATGGGATTAGCCATTAAGGAGTTATTTTGAACAGTACAATCCTTGGATTAATTATCAATCCATGTAATCCCCTCACTCAAACCAAACAAGCCCTATATATATAAAACAAGAATCCCTAACTTCATTTGCTGACACGTGGCACTTAGGGTTTTCAAACCCTAGGGCAGTTTTTGTAATTTTTTAGTAGTCGTTGGACTATTTTAGAAGTTTGAAGTTGAATTTTGGGGATTTTTTAAGTGATGGGTATTCAGAGTAACCATCCATTTTTTTATGGTTTTTCATCTGTTTATTAAAATTTGGAGTTGAATTTTGGGGATCTTTTAAGTGATGGGTATTAAAAGTAACCATCCATTTTTTCCTAATATTTCTTTACATTGACTGTGATTTACATTTCAATTATATTTCTTATATACGATTGTTTTGAGAATTTGAGTTACAACTACTCTTGCATATTATCTCTGAAAATCTGATTCAACACCGGATGAATTAGGCCTTCAATCAAATATATGTAATTATTTTTTAAGAAAATACAATCATCGCATTTTTTGTTTTAGTGCTGAGTCGTTTTGTTGTTGTTTTTTTCTTTTTCCTTTTCTTTTTTAACATATTTGATGTTGGTGGTGAGTTCGGCTGATTTGATGTTTTCCGAGAGTGGGAAGATTTCATTTATTTTAAAATTTTCATTCGGTCTAATCTTCTGAATGTTCAATTCCTGGAATTCAGTAACTAAATGGTTTATAATGTAGAGATTCAGAGGAACATAAGTATGAGATAGATCTGCTGCTCGTATTTCGAATTTGTCAATTTTAATCTTCAAACATTTTTTTAACGATTTTGATTGCTCCCAGTTAGATGTTTTTGTTGATGTAATTTTATTTGTTGATCAAAGTATATTGAACCCTATTTCAGGATCCATCTCAGCAAATAAGGTCTCCTCCAAAAATGGGAACAAAGATTCGCTCAACACCTGCGGACGTAGACCAGAGGTACAAATTGATTGATCACGTAGTATGTACATGGCTAAATTTTCACTATCTTCAGTTGCCGCCATTTTGCTTTGTAGATGGTCAGTATTTTGATCTTTTATTTTCAGTATCCAGTAGGCAAATTACGTTATACAAGTTATAAACTATTCAGTTTTAATTATTTTTGGAAAATTTCACCTACTGATTAGGGTGCGTTAAATAAAAGTGAAGTTCAAGGGGTGTTTGTGATTCCATATGTTTGGTGAATCTTTGTACTTACCATAACCCTCGATGATAAATAACAGCGTGTTCAGAGGTTGTGGAGAAGCAAATGAGTCAGATAGGTGATGTGGCATTAACTCTACTGCCCAAAAATGTAGGTACCATTTTCTGCATTTTAAACCGGCTTTAGTTGTGTTATAAAATTTTGATAATGTTTGGTTGATGGATTGAAATTATGTTTCTAGAGCTAGCAATTTCTATGGTGATTAAAGAGGTTACGGTGGCCCTATAATTGAAGTCAATTAGATCAAATTTGGGATAAACGTTGGTTTACACAGACATGCATACTTTACAAACACGGGTGGGTACGTTGATTTTCCGTGAATTTCATACAAATGCCAATAATCAACTTATTTTTACGGTGTACTACATCTTCATTGCAAATTAAGAAATTAGAAATTACATGCCTATTTTGAATATGTTCCACATCGACTGATGAATTTTATTTTAATATTCCTTTCATTTGTTTTGGAAAACTAAAGTCATTTTGATTATGCATTTCCTTTTTGTTGTTTGAAGTTTATGTAACATGGTAAATAATGTGATTATGTATTATCCATTGTTTTGAAAGAGAACACATTAGTTTAAATGTGAGTGAGAGAACAAAGTGGTTATAGTTTTGGGATTTTTTTTGCTAGATACATTGAAAGTTTATTCCATATTATTTATAAAGCAAATTACAACTTTGAATCTCACTGCACAGTTCAAAGTTCATATTAGTATTTTTGGTTATATGATATACATTAGAACCAAATTTTGGGAATCAATTAAGATTTTCACAAAGATGTGTTTGATTTTAATTCACGTTTTTTCAAATGTTTGACATTTGAAAAGCTATAATATTCAATTAGTAAAATTTGATCGTACAATTTGTTATTTTAGTTTTCTTTAAGGTTGAGCAAGTAACTTTATTAGAATATTTTTGTTTCTATTTAGTGTGATTCAAGTCGTATGTTAAATCTTATTATCACTTAGAATCATGATAAACTTGAAAAGCCTAATTCACCCGTTTAACACTTTGCCAGAGCTTCCCCAGATGTTAATCTTCATTTTGTTGCGGATGCATTTGCCAAGAGGAAAAGAAGCAAGAGGCAACAAGTGTTCAAAGTTTGACTTCGACAAGTGATTCCTGAGGCGAAGCATCAATGCTCGAATTTGTAAACTCTTACAAATGAAAGGACACGATAGTATAATTTTTCTTATGATTACTGAAAACTTTTTAGTACGATCACGACTATTGTAGTTTATAATTGTTATGTCTTATGATTACGACTACAGGTATACAACTATAAACATTGGTTTATGGCTATTCGTATTTATGTAATTTTATGTTACTACAAAATGCATTTAAATGAAATGTATGTTTCAATCTTTGTATACGCATTCTTCATCAGTTTTGTTAAAGAATTAAATAATGGTGTCGTCAATTGCTGGAGTTGTAAAATACATGTATGACACGTTTATTTAATTTTTTCTTCATTCAATATACTTCATTTCTTTAACGATCAATTCATATTATGAGTTATGACAACTAAGTTCATATAACCCTTTGTCAATTTAATTTTACTAATAAATTTTATTATATATTGATTTATTACTATTTTTATTGATGATGTATTTAAATATTTTTCCTTTTCACATTTGGAAATGCTATCCCATGCATCGCTCGGGTGTAGTACTAGTTAATGTAAAAGTTCTTAAATTCTCATGCCTTCTGTTTACTTTATATTATAAATATATGATTTTCTGTGTTGCAAAAAAGAAAATAAAAAATAAATGATTTTCTTTTTCTGTCAAGCCAAACAAACAAACACATGATTTTTTTCCAAATAATGCCACATGTAAGGCCCTGATTATGCAATTATGCAAATATATGTATCAAATTAATCATTCTATGCTTTTAGTAAGAGGGGTAAAAAAGTAAAAAAAAAAAATATTGGTAAATTTTCGCACATCAAAACAAAATATTTTCTTCATCTAATAAACATGTAACTATTATATAGTATATAGATATCACTGGATATTGAACTGTCAATAATTGATAAGAAGCATGAAAATCTGTAACCACTGCCATTAGAAAATTTGAAAGCACCAAACAGAAAATAATGTGATGAAAGTCTAAGCTTAACCTCGAAACAAATTCCAAAAGGGAAATCTTCTAATACTGAAGTAGCCTTCAAAACCAAAAAGGAAACTTTTTTCTTTTCTCAATTAAACTTTGCAAATATGTATTTATTATGCATATATTGTTCCGTTAAGTTCTGCATCAACCGGAAGAAACTCAGCAGGTTCAGTTTTAGCACGTTCGCTGCAAAGGCCAGACGCACCAAAGTAAATGTTATTGTTTGCATTTTTTTTTTCTTTTCGTCCTAGTACAACGATTACAACAAAGGAAACTTACGTACATGAGCTGGTCGTCGTTGTAAATCACGCGCCTCTCACATATTTCACTCCACTGCTTATACATGATCAAGGAAAGCAGCTCCAACTAGTTCTTGTTTAGCACACAGAATAAGTTGGTAATTTTTTTAACAATTAATCGAAAAACAACCAACATTTTGACATACCCTTTTGTCCGATTGAGCAGCTTCGAGGAAACGTCTCATAAACGTGTATGACAGATTAAACAGCAAGGTATTATTGATCAACACTTGTTCCTGCAAGAGAAAATGGTTGATCAAGCGAAAATTCCCTTTTTCTTTCCGAGAACAAAAATAAATTATTAAATATATAACAGGGGAAAGAAACCTTTATGAGCACCGCAAATTCTTGGTTTTTAATTTCACGAAGATGACATTTATTTAGGAGCAACATCGATAATGTTACCTTTATCAGCCAATCAATAAGAATGCCTCTCATTCTGTCAAACTTCTGCTCCACGTAGTTCAAGGGACAATGCTTAAGCTCTGCAATCAGAATTACACAACTGAGAAACGAAAAAAAGAAAAAAAGAAAAGGTAAATGTACAACAAATCAAAGGTTTATGCATTTGTCAAGTATAAAGAATAAACAAAATATTTACTCTTCTGCATTTAGGTCTATATTTTGACACTAAAACACAGATGCTATTTTAGGTACCCATCATTTAGTTCAACATAAGATACATACCTCAGTTGAAGGATGCTGGCCTTCGGCAGCCAATTCGGCAGCAAGATTCCTGAAAAGACATCAATAATACATATAAGAGCAAGGACCAACATATGTAATCGTATACTTCAATATCAAATCTTTTTTCCCAAAACCAAGAAAAGAAAGCTTGTGCACAAAAACCACTAGCTTTTTCTTTTTTTTTTTTTTTCTTTTTATATATATATATATATATATATATATATATATATATATATATATATATATTAGATTTTCCCTCTAAAACGATCAGGAGGAGGCCACTTACATCCCGTGCTCAACGATGCTGAGTTCGATTATGAACAGGGATAGCAGCTCCAACTAGTTCAAGTTTTCACAAAGAGAAACATATTCCTTTAGTCATGAGTTAAACAACATTGCTTTTCTAAGTTTGGATTTAATTAACAGATATCGATTATTGACTAACCACTTTGTTGGGCTGCACAGCAGCTTTGAGGGAACGTCTCCTGAATGCATATGGAGTTGCGGCTGACAGTTTAAACCGTGAGTTGTTGCGGATCAATTTGTCCTGCAGGAGATATTGGCAAGTCAGATTCAGAAACACAAAATTTCCTTGCTAGATTAACATAGAAACGGAAAAGCAAAATGATCGAGTAAAGAGAAAATAAAAAAAAACATAGAACACATGTCTAACTTGCATAATAATGCTAAAAAGTTTTTGAAAGAATATACAATAAACATATATCTACTTGCCTGGAAAGGTGGAGGATTATCAGTTCTTTTTATCGGATAAACCGCGAACAAGTTCACACCGCAAATCCCTTCTGGCCTTCCAGAATTTCTTAGAAGACGCATGTACCCTCCTTCGATCCCCCAAGAATTTTTCAAAATCCAATAATCCTCGGCTTTCTTCCCTTTTCTGTATCCAATCCATAGTGATCCATCTTAACTTTCAAGCCCGCCCTTCTCAACATTTGGATTTGGACCTCTATGCAGTTTAACATGAGTTGAAATTAAATCTAAAACAACAAACATAAAAAAAAAAAAAACTTACGCCTCTGTACATATGGAAATTGTTATAATCGATGTATAGACGAACGATGATAGGTTGTCGGATGACCGCCCTCAGAAGGGCTTCTTCATTCTCATATTCCACAATTTTAAACCCGTCAATTGTCACAGTACCCTTTCGTAACTATAATGTAACAAATAAGTAATTTGAGCCAAAATTCAACTTCTGTAAAAAAGATGAAATACAAAGAGTATGATATTTACTCGATCTCGTTTGCATTTCCCACTATCGCATGTACATGGATAGTCCCTCTCGTAGTAGATTCCATGTTTCTTGACATATTTAAGAGCATCAATCACACTACCTCCGTTTTTTCCGGCACACGAGCTATTTTTTGAGCCGCAAAAGCGAGCATCTCTGCCGCATAAGTTGCATAAGCGACTATGACCAAGCGCACAGTCCAGTATCTCCTGAGCCAGAAGTTCAACCAAAATGTCAG